CTGAAGCTATATCCTTTGATCTCAACTTTCGAACCTGACGCCCCAAAATAGCCACTGGCTCCACATCATAAGTCAAATCACCATCCAACTGAACAGTGCTGAAATCCAAAACATGGGACGGATCGCCAATATACTTCCGGAGCATAGAAACATGAAATACCAGATGTACACTCGACAAGGTGGATGGCAAAGTAAGCTCATAAGCTACCTCCCCAATCCCTTGAAGCACCTCAAAAGGCCCAATGAACCAAGGACTCAATTTACCATTCTTCCCAAATATCACAACACCCTTCATGGGTGAAACCTTCAATAGAACCTTATCCCCAACCATGTAGGACACATCACGGACCTTCCTGGCAGTATAACTTTTTTGTCTCGACTGTGCTATACGAAGTCGCTCCTGAATCACCTTCACCTTGTCCAAAGCGTCCTGCACCAAGTCTGTACCCAAAAGTCGAGGCTCACCCGGCTTAAACCAACCAACTGGAGATCTACATTATCTCCCATACAAAGCCTCATATGGAGTCATCTGAATACTCGACTGATAACTATTGTTGTAAGAAAACTCTGCAAGTGGTATAGATTAATCCCATGACCCTCCAAAATCAATGACACAAACGTGCAACATGTCCTCCAATATCTTAATAGTGCGATCAGACTGCCTGTCCGTCTGAGGGTGAAAAGCTATGCTCACCTCAACCTGAGTACCCAACTCTCCTTGCACGGCTCTCCAAAACTGCAAAGTAAATTGAGTACCTCTATCTGAAATGATGGAAACTGGACACAATGAAAGCGAACATCTGTCGAATATAGATATCTGCCAGCCGCTTTGAAGAATAGGTAATATCATATGAATGAAGTGCACGAACTTGGTCAGTCGATCCATAATCACCCAAATAGCATCAAACTTCTTCAAGGTTTGAAGGGATCTAACTACAAAGTCCATGGTGATCCGCTCCCACTTCCACTCCGGTATCAATCTGCTGAAGCAAGCCACCCGATCTCTGATGCTCATATTTCACATGCTGAGAATTGAGATACCAAGCTACAAATTCCACAATATCCTTCTTCACTCTTCTTTACCAGTAATGTTGTCTCAAATCCTGATACATCTTCGCGGCACTCAGATGGATGGAATACCGCGAGCTATAGGCCTCTACGAAGATCAACTCCCGAAGCTCATCCATATTGGGCACGCATATTCGCCCCTGCATCCTCAACACCCCATCATCACCAATAGTCACATCTCTAAAATCGTCGTGCTGAACTATGTCCTTAAGGACAAGCAAATGAGGATCATCATACTGGTGCTCTCTAATGCGATCAAATAAGGAAGACCGAGAAATCACACAAGCCAATACCCGACTAGGATCCGAAATATCCAACCTCATGAACCGATTGACCAAGGCCTGAACATCAACTGCAAGAGGTCTCTCCCCAACAGGAATAAATGCAAGACTACCCATACTCACCGCTTTCTTACTCAAGGCATCGGCCACTACATTTGCTTTCCCCGGATGGTACAAGATAATGATATCATAGTGCTTTAGCAACTCCAACCATCTGTGCTGCCTCAAATTGATATCCTTCTATTTGAACAAGTATTGGAGGGTACGATGATCAGTAAACGCCTCACAAGACACACCATACAAATAATGTCTCCAAATCTTGAACGCATGAACAATGGCAGCACACTCCAAATAATGAATGGGGTAGTTCCTCTCATGGGGCCTCAACTGACGAGAAGCATAAACAATAACTCTACCCTCTTGCATCAACACACCCAATACAAACTCTCGAAGCATCACAATACACTAAATAAGAACCTGAAGCTGATGGCAACACTAACACTGGAGCTATGGTCAAGGCGGTCTTGAGCTTCTGAAAGCTCGCCTCACACTCATCCAACCACGTGAATGGAGCACCCTTCTAAGTCAACTTGGTCAAAGGTTTTGCTATAGATGAAAATCCCTGAATGAACTAGCAGCAATAACCCGCCAAACCAAGAAATCAACGAATCTCTGTGGCTGAGGACGGTCTGGGCCAACTCTGAACCGCTTCTATCTTCTTCGAATCAACCTGAATATTGTCACTGGACACCACGTGCCCCAAAAAAGCCACTAAACTGAGCCAAAACTCACATTTGGAGAACTTTGCATAAAGTTTCTCCTCCCTCAATCTCTGCAACACAACCCTGAAATGCTCTGCGTGGTCCTCCTGACTACATGAATATACCAGAATATCATCAATGAAAACAATCACGAACGAGTCGAGATAGGGCCGAAACACGCTGTTCATCAAATGCATGAAAGCTGCTGGGGCATTGGTCTGCCCAAAAGACATCACAAGGAACTCATAATGACCATATCGGGTCCTGAAAGTTGTTTTAAGAATATCTGAATCCCTGATCTTCAGCTGGTGATACCTTGAACATAGATCAATCTTAGAGAACACCCTCACTCCCTGAAGCTGGTCAAATAAATCATCAATACGAGGCAAAGGATACTTGTTCTTGATTGTGACCTTGTTCAACTGCCTGTAATCAATGCACATCCTTATAGATCCATCCTTCTTTTTCACAAATAGGATAGACGCACCCCACGGTGACACACTAGGCCGAATAAACCCCTTATCAAGGAGTTCCTAAAGTTTCTCCTTCAATTCTTTCAACTCCGTCGGTGCCATAGGATACAGTGGAATAGAAATGGGCTGCGTGCCCAGCACCAAATGAATACCAAAGTCAATATCCCTGTCCGGCGGCATGCTCGACAGGTCTGCAGGAAACACATCTAGAAAATCCCTCACTACAGGAATAGAATTAATACTAGGAGTCTCTGCACTGACATCCCTCACAAAGGCCAAGTATGAAAGACAACCATTCCCAACCATCTACTGGGCCTTCATAAATGAAATCACCCTACTGGGATCATACTCAGTCGAACCTCGCCACTCAATCCGTGGCAACCCCGGCATAGCCAACATCACTGTCTTAGCATGACAATCTAAAATAGCATGACACGGAGATAACCAATCTATGCCCAATATCACGTCAAAACCAACCATACTAAGCAACAAGAGGTCCACTCGGGTATCCAAACTCCCAATAGTTACTACACATGATTGATATACATGGTCCACAATGATAGTATCGCCCACCAGAGTAGATACATGAACAGATGAAACAAGAGACTCGCAGGGCATATCCAAATAATGGGAAAAATATGATGACACAACATCTGAAGCAATAGCATCTGGTCTGGCCGGGAGGCCATAAAAATGGGCCTGACCACCACCTAGAGCTGATTGAGCGGGTAGGGAGGTAATTGGTGCTGAAGCCGAAAGCTGACTCCTCTACTGGGATGAACCTCCCATAAGATGGGGACAAAACCTCTTGATATGACTAAATCTCCACACTCAAAGCAGCCCCTCGCAGCAAGTGGCGGTGGGGACTAAAGGGAGCCCCACGTACCGAAATGCCCACTAAAAGAACCAGGCATAGATGAACCCTAAACTGATGGTGCCTGAGTCAAACTCTGACCTAGAAGGGCACTGAGAGACGAGTGACCCTGATGTGAATTGTGAGAACAATGGCTAGATGACCTACCACGGTGACCTGAAGGGGCTGGCTGAGCATGTCTAATGGACGGCCTCTGCCGTGCTGAGACTGACCTCCCGAAGGAATACCACTGAAGCTACTAGATCCCTAGGACCTCTTAGCCTCCCTGTCATCCCGCTCTTGGCAGCGAACTAACTCCATCTCTCTAGCAATGTCAATTACCTTCTCAAAAGAAGTGCCAGATACTCGCTCTCTAGTCAGAAAAACTTGTAACTGATAGTTGAGGCACTCAACAAACCTCCTAATCCTCTCCCTATCTGTGGGAACTAGCCAGATAGCATGATGGGCCAACTCGGAGAACCTCATTTCATATTGCGATACGGTCATATACCCCTGACGCAGCTGCTCGAACTGCCTGCGCAGCTCCTCTCTGCGGGAATGCGGTACATATTTCTCTAGGAAAAGAATGGAGAACTGATGTCAGGTAAGGGGTGGTGCACCAATAGGCCTACACCTCTCATAAGCCTCCCACCAAGTGAAGGTAGCTCCAGAAAACTGAAAAGTAGTAAATGAGACTCCACTAATATCCAGAATACCCGTTGTACGCAACATCCTCTGACACTTATCCAAGAAACCCTAGGCCCCTCTGCGCTGCTGAAAGTCGGAGGCTGAAGTCTACCAAACCTCTCCAATCGACGCTGCTCGTCATCAGGCATAATTGGAACCACAAAATCCTGAATAGGTGCAACCGGCTGGGCTGGTGGTGCCTCCTGTGTCTGGAGTCCCTAAACAACCTACTCAGGTGTATGGGCGGCAAGAGTCTGAGTGCCTCCCCCAGCCTGAGAGGTAGCTACTGTAGTAGGAACTGTGACTGCCTGAGCAAGACTGGTGCACACAGTCAGAATCTAAGCCAAAGTCTCTTGGAGACTCAGAATAAGAATAGGCACAGTCGGTGCCTGAGCTGGTGTTGTTGGAGCATCCCTCATTGGAGAATGATCATGAACTGTGGTGGCGGGTGGATCTGCAAGTGTTGCCCTAGCTACTGTGCAGGACACACCCCTTCCCCTACCACGACCTCGGCCCCAACTTGTGGTACTGGTAGTCATCCATCCTGACCAGTAGCACATGTCCTCACCATATGTGAGAGAGTAGAATAACAGAAGTTTAGTAAGAGGATCAACAGATTCGCACGACAAGAATTCAAGAATATGAAGTGTTCATAGAGGTTTTGCAGCCTCCCGAGGATAAATACAAATGTCTCTGTACCGATCCGCGAGACTCTACTAAACCTTCTTATGAATCGTGAGACCTATGTAACCTAAGCTCTGATATCAACATGTCACGACCCAAAATTTAACCATGTCATGATGGCGCCTATCATGATATTAGGCTGGCCACTTATTTCCAAATACTCCATTTTTCAAATAAAAACTTAAGAAAATCATAATTTAATAGAAATTCAATAAGATAAAAGTAGAAATCAATATCCAGCGATAAGAAATACAATCCCGGCCTCGGGTGTCACTAAGTCATGAGCTAAAACTATTACATCTATTCGAAATAACATGACCAACATGGTCTGAGAATATCCAAATAAATACACTAATGGAAGATAAGGAAAGGAGAAGGCAGAACTGCGGTCGCCAAGCAGCTACCTCGCAATCTCCATAGAAAGTCTCCAACTGGTATGGTCAACAACCGTTGTCGTACCCCGAGATACCTGGATCTGCACACAGGGGTGTAGTGAGTAACGTGAGTACACCAGCTCAGTAAGTAACAAGTCCAAACTATGGACTGACGGTAGTGACGAACCAAACCTCAACAGGTTGCAACAGTGAATTGTACGGAAAAGTAGACATGCTTACAGTTCATGTATTTTCTCAGTAGTAATTAAACATAGTATGAACGATATAGAGTATAAAGCTCAGGAACCTCTAAGTACCAATGCACAGATAGCATGATCAATGTTACGTATAATACTTCAAATCACAATTTTCAACCACTCGGTATTGTATATGGCCCATTGGGCCCCGAGAAGATCCATCCCGGAATATATATACATTACACACTATAAGTCACCCAGTTCCGAGGAAACAGGCCAATCTAGCCTCATGGAGAAGATCCATCTTCATACCAATACTTCGGACAAGATCCATGTCCAGGGAAGATCCATCCCTCAATATCATCAACTGCGCTCACTGGGGGTGTAAAGACTCTGGAGGGGCTTCTCTTAGCCCAAGCGCTATATCAATTCCAGCGAAGGCATGATCAATATCTCGCTGCAACGTGCAGCCCAATCCCATACTGTCAATCAATATCAGGCTCTCGGCCTCACTCAGTCAATACTCTCCAATGTCATACACATGGGCTAAATTGTCATGATACAAGCCCAAACAATGATATGATATGTCAAATAGCAATAATCGAGACTGAGGCATGATATAATATGCATGAACATGACTTAGTATAGAATATAAGTGAAGCAAATGACATGACAGCAAGAAACGACCTCTCAGGTCTCAACAATGTTAGCATGAAGCCTTAACATGATGATTAGCATGATTTGTTGCTCATTAACTTGATCACATAACCACAACACAGATATCAGCAAAAAAGAGTCACTAAGCGGTGGCACGAAATGATGCAGGCTGCATTCCTCACGATGCACACCCACTCGCCCGTCACTTGGCATTGTGTCACCTCAATAGTAATCATAGAACACAGTTCGGGGTTTAGAACCCTCAGAACCAAGTTTGGAAGCGTTACTTACCTTAAGCCAAGCCAAACTCTAGCCCTCGATGCCTTTTCCTCTCGATTCGGCGTCCAAGTGCCCCGAATCTAACCAAAATCAGCATACAACCATCAATATACGCTAAAGGAATTAAACCCATATAAAATAATCAATTTAACTCAAAAATCCTAAAATTGGCCAAATCCGACCCTCGGGACCACATATCGGATTCCGATAAAAAATACAAAACTAGAATCCTCACACTCTCACGAGTTCATACATACCAAATACACCAATATTCGACCACAAACGACCTCTTAAATCCCCAAATCAAGGTCTCCAATTCCATGCCCTAATCTCCTAACTTTCCTCCTTAATTTTCCACTAATACCATGATTAAACAATGAGAAAATGGCCATAAACACAAATAATAAGGCTTAAGAAGCTTACCCAATAGAAACCCCTCGATTTCCTTGAAATATCACAGCCCTAGATCTCTTTCCGTCATCAAAAATGGTGAAACTTAGCAAAATTTCGCGAAGGCATCTATTTATATGTTCTGACCAGCGATACCGCATTTGCGGTCCAATTCCCGTACCTGCGGGACCACATCTGCGCATAACCAACCGCTTCTGCAGTTTTTCATTTAATTGCCCTTACTGCACCTGCACTCAAATATCCGCACCTGCTCCTTCGCAGGTGCACTCCACTCTCTGCATCTGTGGCTTCTGCCTTCGCACTTATGGCTGCAACTGCGGCTTGATCTCGCTTCTGCGGTTATCGCACCTGCGGACCCATAACCGCATATGCGGTTATGACATCACCCCGAGGCCCCCAGGACGTCAACCAAAAGTATGAACAAATCACGTTACACTATTCAAACTTATACCAACCTTCAGAACACTCCAAACAACATCGAATAGTCAAAACACCCTCGAATTCAAGCCTAAGATTCCCAAAACTTCCGAATTCCGCAAAACGATCAAAAAGTTTATCAAACCACCTTCGAATGGCCTGAAATTTTGCACACGCGTCACAAATGACACAACGGACCTACTTCAATCTCTAGAATTCCATTCCGACCCCGATATAAAAAATTTCACTACCAATCGGAAAGCGCAAAAATTCCAACTTCACCTATTCAAGCTTAAATCTACCACTGACCTCCAAGTTATATTCCGATCACACTCGTAAGTCCCGAATCACCTAATGAAGTTATCTGAATCATCAAAATTCACATCTGAGCCCTTTTTCACATAAGTCAACGTCCGGTTGACTTTTCCAACTAAAGCTTATTCAAAAGAGACTAATTGTTCCAAACCTCTCCAAAACCACTCAGAACTCGAACCAACTAACTCGATACCACATAATATAGCTGAACAGGACATAAAGAAGTAGAAATAGGGAAAACGGAGCAGTAACTCATGAAATGACCGGCCGGATCGTTACAAAATCCCATGTTTATTTCTTTAGAGACCAATCTCGCAACTCAAGATTTTCAACCACTTGAGCTACCAACCGAGCTATTGAATTTTTATTGATTTAATTCTTTTGTCATCAAAATATTAGTTGTGAAACCTTAAGCATTTATACCTTAATGAAGCAATGGAACAGGAAAATCAAAAGCTCATTTTAGGCATGAAGATTCATCTAAGAAAATTAAACCAAACAATATGCAAACAGTAATCAACAGAACAAAACTGAATAAACAAATACAACTAAGACACCCCAAAACAGAGGAACAAAACACTAACACATACGAGCAACAAATACAAAGAAAAGACTATTTAATGAGATTATGAAAATAAACAAAAGCATGACATTAAGCGAATAAAAAGTAGAGGAAAGGGAGAAATAAACCTCAAATAAATCTGAAATGCAACTATTTGACAATTCTGAGGCGCGACGCAATAGAACCTCAAGCAAGAATCTCCACAGGAAACTGGAGAACAGGACCTAGATCGAAAAATCGGACGAAGACCTCAAACAGGTGCCTCTACCAGAACAGAGAACAACCCCTCCGGCAACTCGAAACTCGTCGAAAATTCAAAAGTGAAAAAATGAGCTAAGCACTTTCTTTACAGCGGAAACGCGACAACTTTGGAACTATTTTGAAGTTGCTCTTACGTGGGTTTCGCGGCTAGATTTTGCTGAAGTTTGGGGCGAGTTTAAGGACTGTTTTGCGGATAGAGTTGAGCAGATTTTTAGCAGCTATTTCGGGTCATTCCGGGTGTTGTTTTAGTCCATTTTTGGATGGTTCTTGGTGGTTGTTGACAGCTGAATTTTGGGGCTGACTCTCATGGGTTTTGAGGCTGGTTTAAAGGCAATTTTCACCTTCTTTGGAGCTGAGTTTCAGAGCTCAATTTTGGCATTGTTTTTGACAGCTTTTCACGGTAAGTTAGAGGTGGGTTTGGGGTGTTCATAGGTAACTTGAGATCTGATATTAATGGATGAAAATCAGGTGTTATCATGGAGGTTTCATGGTGGAGATATGGAAGAAGAAGAAAGTGGAAAACTCCTGATTTTGGTGTCTGCCGTGGCTCTTTTTTGCACTTTTGCTCTGTTTTTGTTCCCTCTGTTCGTTCCTCCTCTCTATGTGTGTGCGCGATCTTATCTATTCTTTTGTGATTGTAGAAGAAGAAAGAATTTCTTTTTGCTAGCGTGCGGTCCCCACCCCATAAGAAAATATTGTGTCCCTTTTTGTGAGTGGAATGGACAAAGTCATAAATTATTATTGTGGTAATCTCCCATAATGCAAAGTATGAGAATGAGGAAAAGGAGTTTTGGCTTCTCTTTCTTTGAGGATATGGAAGAAATCCATTTAAGGAGGTGGACCCCATTAGAAAATAAAAAAACCAATAATTATTTATATAAGAAAAATAAAAGAGGACAAAATGGGCAGGGAATCACTTGAATTAAATTTCAAAGTTGGGCAAAAATCTGTTTCCCCTATTTACGTTTCTTTCCTTTTTTTCACTTCATTTTTCTTCTTTTCTTCTAATGTTAGATAATAAAATGAAATAAAATAAAAACTTCACAAAAATACTAATTTATCTAGGATAACAGAAAATATTAGGCGGAGACATAGAGTTACTTGTTTAAATACTACTCAACATATACTAAAACCTATAACTTTAAAACTAAACTAATTAAATATATATTTTTAAAATTTACTTCTTATCTTTTTGGAAAAATAAAATATCAATACTATTTTTTTTTTGTATTTTTCAGTTCTATGAAAAGTGAAATAAACTAAAATAACTAGATAAAGTATCAATTAGCTTAAATAAAGGAAAAGATTTGTAGTTTTCAATTTTTATGCTTTAAAAACTTGAATTAAAATTAATAATAGAATGAAATCCTATAAACTCAAATAATTGACAAAAAATACTAAGACTACTAAAGATAATTTTAATGTGCGGGTCAAAAATTACGTGCTTACAAATAGCTTCGTTATGTCACTTGGAACTTGTGTGCAAACTTTGAGTCCATTCCGGATTGATTTGGTATGTTTCCGCACAGGTTTCGAAAGCTGAAAGCTCATTAACTTCATTGAGACAATTTTTGAAGCGACTTTCACCAAATATATCGGGGTAAGTGTTCTTTACTCATTTTTTGTTATATTTCATGAATCGTTCTTTGGTTTTTGGCATTTGGTTGATGATTTCAAAAGAGAAATTGGGGATTTTTTTATTAAAGATTCATAGAGCAAATTCTTGGATTTTGAACATCAATTCGAAGTCGGATTTGAGTGAAACTAGTATGGTTGGACTCTTAATTGAATGGGCTGTCGGATTTTGTGAGTTTTGTCGGGTTCCGAGGTTTGGGCCCAAGTTGGACTTTTGGGATGATTTTGGGCTTTTGATTATAGATTTGACTTTTATTGATTGGGTTTGGTTCATTTGGCATTGTTTGATTTATTTGAGTTGCTTTTGGCTAGTTTTGAGTATTTCGGAGGTCGGTACGCACGAAATGACATTTTTGGAGCATCACTTGGATTGCTCGGTATTGAAATTTGCTTCTTCAAGGTATGTAACAATTACAAAACATGGTGCTGAGGTTATGAAAACCTGAATTATGTGTTATGTGATTGGTGTTGAGGTGAATTATGTGCTGAGGTTATGAAAACCTGCGCCGTGTGAATTGTGACTCCTTAATTCTTGTGGTACTGTGTAGTTACCTGATATTATCTGTAACCATGAAATCTCTACATACTAGAGCTATTGAGTTGTGATCCTTGTTAGAAACCATGTGTAGGCTACATGCTTATTACGTTAGACTCAGTGAGGTCATATTGTTGTTGAATTATTTGTTTAAATTGCAAATTCATACTCAGTCATGTTCATTCATTTCATATCATAACTCAGTGTCTGTTGTTATTTTATTGATAAATCATGTCATCATTTTTGGGCTAGTTTCATGAGATTGTGAGCCCCAGAGACTAGAGAGTTTGATGACTGAGTGAGATCGAGGGCCTGATTATGATATTATTGATACTATATCACGTGAGTTATCCATGCAACACGTGAGTTATCCGTGTAGATTCAGATATTGATACTATAGCACGTGAGTTGCCCGTGCAGATTATAGCGCTTGGGTTGAAGGATCCCTTTCGAAGTCTGTACACACCCCCAGTGACTGAGGTTGATTTATATTGAGGGATGGATCTTCCCTAGGCATGGATCTTGCCCGAAGCATTTATATTTGGGGATAGATCTTCCTCGGGCTGCGTTGGTCTTATACAATACTGAGTGACTGACTGTCACTTGCTATGTATACATTCAGGATGGATCTTCCCTGGGCTGGATTGGCTATATACAATACTGAGTGACTGAGCATGTCGAGTGGTTGAGCATGATGAGTGAAAAGTGTGAGACAGTTAGATTGAGTACTCTAAGAGTGTGAGTACATGAATTTATCTCTGAGATACATTGCATTTGACATGCACACTTGGCATACATGCATAGAGATGTATTTTCCTCTTGTTGTATAGTATCACGACATTCATGGCTTCTCACACATATTGACATATAGGTATAGAGATGATTTTTTCTTATGTCTTTTAAAAATGAAACGTTTACATGCTGAAAGCTTTGGGGAAAATTACAATTTTCAAAATTACTCATATTTTTTGTGATTTTGGTAAAAGTTTTGGGTTTTCACAAATATACTTGAAAAGCAGACCTACTTTCTGGAATTATGAACGAACTGAGAAATCTATCTCTAGTTACTTCTTTTATTACTTTCATTATATTGCTATGAACTGTTGTTAGCTATTGGTGTTGGACTCTGACCTATGTTTCAGCTCGTCACTACTTTCAATCTAAGGTTAGGTTTGTTACTTATTGAGTATATGAGGTCGTTTGTACTCATACTACACTTTTGCACCTTGCGTGTAGATGTTGGATGTTGATGTTGATGTGTTCAATGAGAGCTAGATTTGAAGATGTACTTGCGTTCCGGTTATAGATACCGCTTGTTCATGGTAGCTCTAGACTTATGAAAGATCTGTTCATGTATATTTTAAACATATAATGTACTTTATTTCATACCAGCTTTGTAAAATATAAATCTTAGACGCTCATGATTTGTACTACCAGTCCTTGGGAACTATATAAGATTTAGATATTTTCTTTTACTTAATTGTCTTATTAAAATTTATTAGAATTTGATAGTTGTTAATTGGCTTACCTAGAGGGTTGGGTTAGGTGCCATCACGACAAGTTGGATTTTGGGTCGTGACAAGTTGTTGCCAAAGCTCTAGGTTCACAGGTTCTACAAGTCATTAGCAATTGTCTAGTAAAGTCGTGTGAATTGGTATGATGACGTTCATACCTATCTTCGAGAGGCTACAAGGCATTTAGGATAAACTTCCCATATTTCTTTCCTTATCGTGTTGCATTTATTCATCTTGAAGCTTAACTCTTTGAATTCCTTCCACGCACTTGTATGCACATGTGAGCGCTCGGTATCAGCTCTACATCAACGACTTGTGATCCTTGGTTGAGGTACAAGATGTGATTTCTGTGTGCTGATGATGGGCCAGTCTGGAGGGCTTGAGGCCAGATTTTGACTATAGCTTGAGCACGAAGATTTCAATTGTGTGAGCATGTGATTTTAGACTTATAAGTCCGGTAGTGTCCCTATTAGTGGAATTTGTGGTTTGATGAGTGATTGGATGGCTATATAATGAGTATGATGTGACTGCGGGATGTGTTCGCATAGTTTGAATGTGTTGAGAAGAGTTTGCTTGAGATGTAAAAGGACCATTGGGTGCTTGATTTCTATCTTGATATGACGTATAGTCTCGAGTCATGAGTGTATTGAATGATATTTCATGTTGCTTAATTGTGGAACGAATTAGATTCTCATGGGTTTGTTGATGGGTTTAGACTCGGGAAGATTAAGTGATTGCGTAGTAGTTGTGTCTATGAAGGGGTATAAAGAGATGTTAGTTTGAGGCTAAGGAGGTGGGTTATAACCTGCGAGGTAATCTACGGATGTGTTTTCTTAATGATGTTGTATGAAGGCTTTCTTATCTACCAGTCAGTTATATTTGTACGATTTGAGTTTGGATCGGTTGTAATAATTGACCTGACCATTATGAGGATGAATTGAGGTATTAGATGGTTTGTGTTACATGAGCTTATAAAAGATTTAGTTGAATCTCACTATGGTATTATGGCTGTAATGGAGTATGGTTATTGTAAGTTATCAGATGTTTTATTCTATGGCTTTGAGCCAAGTAGGGGAGTCTGCTATCGACGAGTTTACTATACGGATTTGTGTTGTATTGGTTTCGGTTTGAGGTATACTTGTGAATCAGTTATGACTTGTAGAGGTTGAGATCGATGATGACTCGAGTAAGAGGATTTCTAAACATGGGTTGTATTACACTCTATGGGTATATGAGAATCATGGAATGATTGAGCAATGATTTGTGAAGGATGTAGTGTAGATGAAGTATGAATTTACTCGGTTATTTATAGGTGTGGACTACTTCTTTGGGTGTTATTGAGCTAATGGGGCACAGGTCGTTCGTCCCGTTTGGGCGATGCAATTGAGATTTGAGTAGAGTGGATGACTCTTGATAAGATTCTAAGGGATTCAGGAGTTATATGTAGCAATTGGGAATTTCCAGGATTTGTATATAGCTAGATTTGAGATTTACATTAGATGGTGTTGAGACTTGCGGTATTTCTATATCCATATGGATTCTACATTTCAGTATTAGGAAGGTGAATGAAATGACTTTAGATTCACATAAGATCTCTTCAGAGTGGGTATCTCGGCTGTGGTACTTTAGGGTACTTAAGAGGGAATTCAACAGCTTATGGGCCTTAGGGCGGTGTAGTTCTATGCTAGAGTTTATGAGGTGAGTTTTGGTTAAGGATCGTGGTGTTCTAGAAAGGAGAAATATCAATTTGAAAGCAATTTGGAAGCGTAGAAATAGGACAATTAATAGTAGATTGAATCAGCACCATAATGGATATGATCGGTTCTTTGGGTACTTATGATGTAGTGAGTTTCTACAGGGTGTTTTGTGGTGATACTCTTAGATTTGGTGACTTGCGTGGCTTGGTTGAGCTAGAGAGATTTAGTTTTGATGGTTTGGTCATGTGGAAATGGGTTACGAAGTGTTCTCAATGGTTTCTACCACAGTTCGAGGTGTATATTTCTTGTC